TTGGCTCTAATAATCAACTTGGCAATGGCAGCCTCAAAGAAAGTTTCATAGAGTGTATGAGGGATTGTTTCTCAGCAATACATGTCATGGAGCTAACCAGGGGACTGGCTACTTTAGATTTGGTGTTATGTATCGAGGAAGGATTGATAAGTGGTCTTGCAATTAAGGATCCCTCTTGGAAAGGAGAGACCACGCCTTGCTCGAGTTTTAAATTCAGATCGAAAGAGTGAGGACAGAGTCGCGTAACAAGACTTTTAGTGTTAGGCGAAGGTAATTTGTACAGGCCAGAGGAAGAAGTTGGCCTGAGTAGACTGGACAAAAATATTCTATCATCATAGAATCCCTACAGTGTGAAAACAGGCCCTTTGGCCCAACAAATCCACACTGACTCTCAGACCATTCCCCCCTGGACCCATCCCCCTAATCTACACATCCCTGAACACCATGGGCAATTTAGTATGGCCAATCCATCCCAACCTGCACATCTTTGGACTGTGGGAGGAAACCCACGCAGACATGGGGAGAATGTGCAAACTCCACACAGACAGTCCCCCGAGGGTGAAATCAAACCTGGGTCCCTGGTGCTATGAGGCAGCAGTTCTAACCACTGAGCCACCGTGCCGCCCCTAAATATTACAGGGCAGGGCAGTTGAAGAAGAGTGACAAGTGCTTAGGGAGGTTCTAAATACACCAAAGTTGGTGGTGTAGTGGACAGGGAAGAGGGTTGTCTAAGATTTCAAAGATATCTTGATTAATTGGGCCAATGGACTGAGGAGTGGTGCATGGAGTTTAATTTGGATAAATGCGAGGTATTGCATTTTGGTAAAACAAACAAGGGCAGGACTTATACAATTAATGGTAGGGCCCTGGATAGTGGGACCTGGGGGTTCAGGGACATAATTCTTTGAAGTTTGCATCACAGGGGGTGTTAAGAAGGTGTTTGGCATGCTTGCCTTCATTGCTCAGACCTTTGAGTATAGGAGTTGGGAACATCATGTTGAGTTTGTGCAGGATGTTGGTGAAGCCTCTTTAGAAATATAGTGTCCAGTTCTGGTCGCCCAGTTATAAGAAGGATGTTATTAAGCTGCAGAAGGTTCAGAAGAGATTTACCAGGATGTTGCTGGGACTGGAGGGTTTGAGTTGTAAGGAGAGGCTGGATAGGCTGGGACCTTTTTCCACTGGAGTGTAGGAGGTTGAGAGGTGACCTTGTAGAGGTTTATAAAATCATGAGGGATGTTGAGAAAATAGCCAGGGTCTTTTCCCTAGCAGGGGGAGTTCAAAACTTGAGAGCATGTTTTTAAGGTGAGAGGAAAGAATAGTTAAAAAACACATGAGGCGCCACTTTTTTTTACACAGTTCAGGATTTGGGCCAAGTGTAGGTAAGTGGGACGAGTTTAGTTTGGGAACATGGTCAATGTGGACTAATTAGACCAAAGGGTCTGTTTCCATGCTGTCTGACTCTATGAGCCTATGACCTCTCAATTAAAGAATATTCCTGAGAGGAAGAGGAATTGTAAAAACATGAAGAATCATCCATGGCTTAACAGGGAAGTCAAGGATAACATTAAAGCTAAAACTGGGGTATACCAGTTAGTACAAAAATTAGCGGCACCATGGAGTATTGGGGAGAAATTTAAAAAAGGGTTACTGAAAATGAATCAAAAAGACTAAGATGAAAACATGAATACAGATCCAAAAGCTTCTATAAACGCATAAAAGGGAAGAGAACAGTTAAAGTAAATGTTGGCCCGTTAGAGGACGAAAATGGCACAGTAAAAATGAGAAATTCAGAAGTGGCACAGGCAAAGACATATATCTTGTCTCTGTTTTCACAAAGGAAGTTAATAATCTCTTCCCAAAAAATTGCAGCTACTGTAGAGGAACATGGTATACTCACCAAAGCTACGGAGATGGGGATGACGTAAAACTGTTGGGATTAAGGGCAGGTAAGTCCCCTGGGCCCGATGGCCTGCAGCCTAGGGTATTAAAGGAGGCAGCAGCGGAGGTAGCGGGTGCCAAAATTTCCTGGATTCTGGAAAGGCGCTGATGGATCGGAATCCTTATTCACGAAAGGAGGTGGGCAAAAACTGGGGAACTAGAGACCAGTAAGTTTGACCTCTGCAGTGGGGAAGTTGCTGGAGTTAATTGTACAGGGGGAGATTACTGAACACTTGGAAAACTGAAGCTCGATTCACCAGCGACAGCATAGTTTCAAAAAGGGCAAGCCATGCTTGAAAAACTTGCTGGAGTTCTTTGAGGGTGTAACCAGCAAGGCAGACAATAGGGATCTGGTGGATGTAGTATATCTAGACTTCCAGACGGCATTTGACAAGGTGCCACACAAAAGGTTAGGTCCCAGAGAGTGAAGGGTAGAATATTGGCTTGGAAAGAGGATTGGCTGACTGATAGAAAGCAGAGCGCCAGGATAAATGAGTCTTGCTCTGGATGGTGAGCTCTATCTCGTGGGATATTGCAGGGTTCAGTTCTCAGATCCCAACGATTTCCAGTGTATATAAATGATCTGCAAACAGGGTTAGAGTGTAACATAGCAAAATCACAGATCGTACTAAAATAGGTGGGAGAGCAGGCCATGATGAGGAGACAAAGAGTTTTCAGATGGCTATTGTTAGGGTAGAAGAATGGGCAGGAATCTGGCCGATGGAGTTTAATGTAGATAAGTGCGAGGTTATCCAGTTCGGCTGGAAAGAAAAGGGCAAATTATTATTTAAATGGGAAGCAGATTCAAAGTGCATCAGTGCAGAGGGATCTGTGTGACTGTGCAGGAATCACAGACAGGGGGTCTGCAGGTACAGCATATTAGTAAGAAAAGCAGATGGAATCCTGGCATTTATTGCAAAAGGATTGGATTATAAAAGTAAAGAAGTGTTGTTACAGTCATACAAGATGTTGGTGAGACCACACTTGGATTATTGTATCCAGTTTTGGTCTCGTTACTTGAGGAAGGATGAGGTGGTGCTGAAGGTAGTTCAGAGGAGGTTCACCAAGTTGATTCCAGGGATAAAAGGGCTGTTTTAAGAGGAGCATTGAGTAGCTTGGGCTTGTACTGACTTGGGATCAGAAGAATGAGGGGGGGGATCTGATTGAGGGATATAAAATGTATAGGCGACTGAGAAGGTGGATGCTGAACAGATGATCCCCCTTGTAGGACAGTCTCGAAAAAGCGGCCAGAGATATAAAGAGGGGATAGGTTCAAAACGGAGAATGAGGAGAAACTACTACTCCCAGAGGGCTGTGAATCTGTGGAATCACTGCCCCAGAGCACAGTGGATGCAGAATCGATCAACAGATTCAGGACAGAAATCGAGATGTTTCTGATGAAAAGTGGGATAAAGGACCATGGGGAGCAGGAAGAAAAATGGACTAGAGACCAGGATAAGATCAGGCATGATCTTGTTAAATAGGGGAGAAGGGTCGAAAGGCTGCATTGCCTACTCTCGTTCCTAATGCACCAGACAATGTCTTAGAGTGATTGATAAACCACGATTACAGAGGAAACCGTATCTTTTTATCTTTCAAAATGTTTGACTGTCGACTGAAATGGGGAAAATGGACTATTCTAAATGCCAAGGATTACTGTAGTTTATTCAAACAAGTTAATGAAACTCCACATACAAACCCATACAGATCAAAACCGGGAATGACACTACTCACCATAACGGACCAGACAGTATAAATTCCAAGTGGAGTAGAACAACATCGCTTCATTGGAGGCTCCACTGGATGATGTCACCTAGTATGGTGACGAAATGTCTGAACGAGAACAAGCCAGTTCAGCGAGCAAGTCAACAACCTGGCCTTCTGCCTGTCAACAGCAACATGATTGGCTCCTGGGGAGCTGCGCATGTATTGGGAGTGAACGATAGGGCCAGAAGCCTTTGGACCTCCAGGAAAGGGAGGTCTGCAACAGAAAATACCCGAAGCCTGAAGAAGACCCACTTTCGTCACCCTACCAGCTGCTGTGAGCCGTTGCTTTTAACCAATAAATCAGACATTTTATGTGAACCAGTCGCAAATAAAAAGGTTCCTAGAGTAGAGAGAGATGGAAGAACAGCAAGTCCTGGAGTGCGAAGGGATCATTCCAGTGAACTCGTGGACAGGGACCATTGAATGGTCTTCCCGGTCTTTCCCTCTGTCCTTAACACCAATGTTTTTGTGTCTATCAGTGGATGTAGGTGGTGTTTATAAGATGGTTCAATTTTTTCACTGTATATGCCAATAGTTCATAACTGTTTATCTATGGGTGGAAACAATTTATAAAAGAAGTCATTGGAGCTCAGTATAGAAACCTGGTCTGTTCCTG